TTCCCTGCCTCCTGTCCCTCCAAGCCCCTCATTAATAATCTCTCTCCACTTTTCTTGTAGCTCCTCTAGGCACTGGAAGGTGACAATTTGGCCACAATTTGGTCACAATTTGGAAGATGCTTCTCTTCCAGGCTGAACAATCCCACCTTGTCCTCTCAGCAGAGCTGCTCCATCCCTCTGTCCATCCTGGTGTCCTCCTCTGGACTCTCCAGTGGCTCCATGCCCATCTGTGCTGGAAGCCCATTCCCCTGGGAAGCAGAGGCATTGCCATGGCTCTTTCCTCACCATGGGATGTGGCACAGCTTTGCCAGCAGCTTCCCTGAGAGGAAACAGTGGGATCTGAGCAGCCTCAGGACACCCCCCAGAGCAGCTTTGTCCTTGCAGCAGGCACTGGGTACTCCATGCACAGCCCTAAGCCCAGCTGGTGGGTGGGAGCTGCTCAAAAACCTTAATTTTGGGGGCTGTATTTTCACAAGAAAAAGCAGCTCTGCAGCCAACACCAAACTCTCAGACCCTGCCGCTGCCAGGTGGGTCCTCAGCCAGAACTCCCTGCAGCTTCCCATAACCACAACAGTTCAGCAGCCGCTTTTAGACACTTGGCCGGGACTCCTGAAGGAAAAACAAAAATCCCATCTGCTCTGGGTGTCTCAACATGAGCATGGAAAGAAACCCGTGGGTGAGAGGTGTTGGTGGAAAGCAGAGGGCTCAGAGCTGCTGCAGAGCCCAGAGACCTTCCCTGGTCACTGCTGATGACAGGTCCAGCTCAGGAAGGGTTTCCATGGAGGTGGCACTGGGAAGGGTCCTGATTTCAGGGCTCTGGAGCAGTGGATGTGCTCAGGAGCTGGAGCTGCCCAGCTCAGGGCTGGTCATTGTTTTGTGTCTCAAGGCTCCAGGTTTGACGAAACGCTGCCCCAGTGATGCAAATCAATGATGCACTTGGCTCTGCAAGGGTTTTTCGGTCAAGCCAGCACACTCTGAAAATATTCTGCATAAAGACCTCAGCAGTTTTTGGCTTGGCTTGGGAAAAATTGAGTCAGTCAGTGAATTTTTTAATTTTTTTTTTCTGGTGGCCAAGGAAATGTTGGTGCCCCACACAGAGGGAGATCCTCTTTCCTTCAATTCAGCTGTTAATTGCAGGCATCAAATTGTCATTGAAATAAAAATATTGGATGTCCCAAGGCTGGGGCCAGCCAGGCCTCGCTGGGGCAGCACTGAAGCCACTTTTAGGAGCTGTTTTTTCTCCCAGGTGAGCCCCCTGTCCTGTGCAGGTGTCTCCATGGTGGAGCTGTGGGAAGCTCTGCTCCCAGGAGGATGAATCACGCAGCAGAGCTGGGTTTGTTTGCTCTTAGACTCCTTCAAAGAGAAGATTCTGTGGTGCTGGGCATCGTGCCACCGGGCACAGCGTCTGGGCAGAGCAGGGAGGGAGGGTCTGGATTTGGCCATTTGGTGGGGATGTGGAATTTTGATGTTCAAAATGGATTGATGTTCACCGTGGATTGAAGCCCCTTCTGTGGGGCAGAGAGGGAGCAAGACCCTTCTAGGGAGCCATTTGGAGGTGGGAGGACACAGTCACGCCCTGTAGGTCCCTTTTTCCCTCAGCAGATGAAGATGTATCGCAGGATAACTTCTGTCACACTGCTATGGGGTCAGCCAGGGCCAGGCAGCTGGGGCAGCTCTTGGTGGCCAACGGTGCAAGGAGGATCAGAAGGACATTTCCACCTCCAGAAGGTTTTTCCTGTGGAGGTGGAAGTTATTTCGCTGCCTGTTCCTCTCACTCTGGCTCTGAAGCTTTTGGAGCAGCATGTTCTCCCAGTGGGAGACTTTTCCATGGATGGCAACAAGCTGGGAGCTTGGGCAAGGTCTGAGGGAGAAGAGAGGACGGCAGTGGTGGGAGGCAGGAGAGGCTGTGGGAGGGATGGAAGTGCTGGAGATGAGACCCAAACTCCCCTCAGCCTCACAGCCGCAGGACTTCTCCCTAAATCCGGCAAAATTCACTGGAAATGAGGGTTAGAACCACTCACATTTCATCCCCAGCAGGACTCCTTCCCTCCCCCTCTCATTACACCGGCATAACTGTAATTATCCCAGGTATAATTAACAGAAAGCACGTTCCCAGTGTCAGCAAGCAGCCTGGGTGTGTGCTGAGCCCACCTGGCAGAGCTCTTATCTCTGCCTCACAGCTCAGGGACAGCCTGCTGGGGACATCAGGGCCAGCAACAGCAGGACAGCTCAGGGACAGCCTGGTGGGGACATCAGGGCCACCACCAACAGGACAGCTCAGGGACAGCCTGCTGGGGACATCAGGGCCACCACCAACAGGACAGCTCAGGGACAGCCTGGGGGGGAGCTGTGGGTGGCAGCTGGCAGGTACAACACCCCAAAAGTGGCCAGTAAAAGTGCAGAACTGCAGGGACACCCCAGCCCCCTGTCCCCAGTGAGGACATGGTGTGGGAAAGAACTCGTGACCTCCCAGGCTTTGCAGCCCAAATCTTTGGCAGCCAGGAGCCATCTCTGGCGCCTTGTACCAGCCCAGGGTGCCCAGGAGATGGGTGGAACCAGAGGAGAAGGGTGTGCAGGCAGATTGAGTTGGTGCAGTGCCCAGATGACACAGCTCCACCACTCAAATTCCCACCCCAGCCAGAGGCTGGCCTTGCCCACACAGTTGGCATTTTGGGGACACTGCATGCGCCCCCACAGAATCATGGAAATATTTGGGCTGCTGGAAAACACCTCTAAGATCATCCAGTCCAACCATTAACCCAGCACTGCCATGTTCACCACTAACCACATCCTCAAATGCCACATTCACATATTTTTTTAACACTTTCAGGGGTTGTGGTTTCACTTTCTGTGCCAATGCCTGATATCCAATTTTTTCCTGATTCAAACCTCCATTGGCAAAACTTGAGTCTCTTTCCTGCCATGTTGTTCCCTGGGAGCAGAGCCTGATCTCCCCCCGGCTGTGCCCTCCTGGCAGGAGCTGTGCAGAGCCACAAGGTCCCTCCTGAGCCTCCTTTGCTCCAGGCTGAGCCCCTTCCCAGCTCCCTCAGCCTCTCCTGGGGCTCCAGACCCTTCCCAGCTCCCTCAGCCTCTGCTCACAGAACTCCTTCTCCAGCCCCTTCCCCTCCCCAGGGAATTCAAGACACTGGAGCCACAGGGATGACCCAGCAGAGCCGTGTCCACTTCTCAGCCATGCCTGGGTCCATGCCCAGTGTCACAGCAGAGTCGAGTTTATCCCAGTAGAACCGAGTTTATCCCAGCCAGGTCACACAAGCCAGGCTGCTGGTGGCCAAAGCCACCTCTGTGTGTCTGCACAAGGCTCGACTCCAAACCCACTCTAAGCAGGAAAAAACCTTTCCTTGCTGTTTATCTTGACTGTCCTGTCACACCCGGCCTGGGGCACCCACCCCAAACCCTTCAAGCCGTGTTTCCCCAGGGTTTTGGGGTTCGGGGTTCGGCCCTGCTGCTCCACAAGGGAGTGCACGCTGGAGGAGGCGGTGAGGTGATGGAAACACCCATCAGTCACCCCGGCAGCCCATCGAGCAGAAAATGGATGCAAGCCACGGCTGGATCCAGCTTTGCACGTGTTTTAATGACCGAGAACCCGGGCTTGAAGTGATTTCTTGCACCCTCATAACCATAAAAGCTGCGGCTGTGGGACCCGCCCGTGCCGCGGGCTCTGTGTGCCCCAGGCCGGCCGGAGCCCTTGGGAGCAGCTGCCGCTTCTCTCTCCGAGCAAGTGCGGGCACGTCCCGAGCTCTCCCCAGCGCCGGCTCTTCCCTCCTGGCTCCCTGCGTGCCCGGCCAAGACGGGGAGAAAATATTCCATGAGCGCATTAAGGGCTCAGCCTCCCCCGGGGCCCCGGGAGCGAAACACGGCGGGGCAGGCGGGCAGGAGGGGCAGGAGGGGCAGAGGGCACAAAGGCGATACCCACGGGCTGCCCCTTTAACATGGAGGAGCCGGGGCAGAACTACCGCTCCCAGCGGCCAGTGCCGCCCGCCCTGCCCGGCCCGGGCTCCGCACGCCGGGGGCTGTAGTTCCCCCGGGGCCCCGGCTTTGTGGGCAGGGGACGTGGGCAGGGGGCAGGCACCAAGGGACAAGCGCCCCAAAATTGTGTTTGTGTTGGTGGAGGGAGAGGAGGCGCCGCTGTGCAGCCGGCGCTCGGTGCCCCTCGGTTCTGGGGTGGGAGGGGAATCAGCGCTGTTGGGGGCTCGGGGGGACCGGCCTGGGAGGGCTCGGGGTGTCCCGGCTTGGAGGGCGTCGGTGTGCACGAGCTGGGAGTGCCAAGGCTGGGGGGATTCGGGGTGCTCAGGCTGGGGGGCTCGGGATGCCCAGGCTGGGGCGGGGGGCTCGGACGGGGAGCACTCGGGGTGCCCAAGCTTGGAGGGGCTCAGGGTGCACAGGCTGAGAGGCTTGGGGTGTCCAGGTTGCCCAGCCTCGGGGGTTCAGGGTGTCCCGGCTTGGAGGGGCTCGCTGTGCACAAACCGGGAGTGCCAAGGCTGGGGGGACTTGGGAGCTGCGGGATGTCCGAGGGGACTCGGGGGCTGTGAGATGTCCAGGGGGGACTCGGGGGCTGCGGGATGTCCGGGGGGACTCGGGGGCTGCGGGATGTCCAGGCAGCGGGGTGCAGAGGGTTCAAGATGCCCGAACTAGGGGGGAAATCGGGGTGCCCAGGCTGGGGGCGCTCGGGCACATCCCCGCCAGCCCGGCGAGCGCCGGTGGCGGTGCCAGCGGCAGCGCGGGGCTGAAGGCGGGGCTGTGCCCGCACCCCGGCCGGGCAGGGGCCACGCTGGGAGGGCGCTGCGGGCTGACCCCAGCCTGGCAGTGTGGCAGGGTCGGGGCACAGCCCGGGCACATCCCGGCCGGGTCGGGTTCGGTCCGTTCCATCCCGATCCGATCCGATCCGATCCGTCCCGTCCCGGCCCTTCCCGGTCCCTCCCGCCCCGTCCCGGCGGCGCTGGAGCGGCCTCGCCTTCCCGTGGTGCAGCGCGGCCGCGGCCCCGCCGCGCCGCCATGTTGTCGGAGTGAGCGGCCGGGGAGAGGCAGCGGCGAGCGGCCGGGGGGGGCCCGGCATCCGTCTGCATCCGAGCGCTCCGCCCGTGAGTACCGGCCCGGGGCCGGCCCCGCCGCGCCGCCGACCCCCGCGGACCCGCCGGCGGGCGCATATTGGCGGGGGGAGCGGGAGGAGAGGCCCCAGGCCGCCCCGAAGGCGAGCGGCGGCGGGGGCGCTGCGCCGGCGCTCCCGCCCGGCTCCCTGTCGGGGCCGCGGCCTGGGCCCATTGTTAGCGGGGAGGGGGCGCGGGGGGACCCCCGGGCCCCGAGTGCGGCCCCGCGGGCGCTCCGGTAACGGGGATGGGGGTTATTGTTGGGGGGGCGCGGGCCCATCGCAGCCCTCAGCCGCCTTGCCCCAGGCCCGGCCCGCCGGGGGCTGCCCCTCGGTCTGTGGGGCTCCCCCTTCTCCTGGGGAGGGTCCCCCTATTCTCCGGGACGGGTTTGATCCCGGGGGGGCTCCCCCTTGTCCCGGGCCTTCAATCCCGGGCGGCTCTGTCGCTCCGGCCGAGGCCCCGCTTTGTTGCCCCCAGGGCTCCGGGGGGTGCTTGGGTTCCGTCCCCCCGGTTTTGGGGGGGTTTCGGCGGCTCTGGGGGTCCCTGGAAGAGGGGAGGGTCGGGGCTGGCAGAAGGAGGAAGGGAAAAAGCAGACAATCCTTTCCGAAGTGCTGGGTGACCCTGGGGGTTTTGTGTTTGTGTGGGGTTTTTCTCCCCCCTTGTTTTTATCTCGTGCTCACATAACGACAGCCTCGGCCCTTGTGAGCTGCAAAGTTGGAATTTTAAGAGCCCCTCGGCCCAACCTGAGAAATGCTCTGATTTTTTTTTTTTGTTGTTGTTGTTATTGTTGTTGTTTGCTTTGGTCAATGTTTAATAACTTTGTTCGGAGCAGAGATTTTATTAGGCAGATCGTGAGTAAGGAATTTCCTTTATTAAGAGGGATGGAGGTGGGGGAAAGGGGGACCGTGGGTCCTTTTGGGTTTCAGTGCTGGTTTTGGGAATCCGATGGGTCAGGAATTCAGTGCTGCGGCTCCCCAGGTTTTCAGGAAAACACAGGGATAACGTGAAAAGTTCTGCTAGGCCACACAGCTCTCAAACAATGGCTCTGCTTTCATTTCCAGTGGAACTTTCCAAAAAAAACCCACCCAACCCAAACTCCTCCGCTTTGGGGTTGAACTTTTTTGGAACGCTCGTTTTACACGGCGTTAATTTTGTAATAATCCGTGATTTTTGAGGGTAATACGGAGCCAGAGCCGGGAGGATCTGGCTGTGGAGCCGGGCTCTGCGTGGATTAAAGCTCCTTTATTCAGTGTTGTCACCAGCGGTACTTCAGACTCGCGGGGAGATTGCTCCGAAGTTTTTTGTTGTTTGTGGAGCGTCCCATAATCTGCGGTGACAACACGGAGCAGCTCATTTCACGCAGGGAAGAGCAGAGCCGCCTGCCCTGAGCGCGGCGGAGCAGCGTGGAAGCCTTTGTTTGCCAAGCCGGGGTTTCACCTGGGAGAAGTTGATCCTCTGTGCTCAGGAAGAGTTTGGGAATGCGAGAGGCTCTGGAGGCCGCGAGCAGCTGCGGCTCTGCAGTGCCTGTGTAGGTGACTGCCCGAGCTCCGGGAGCTTTGAATGACAGGATTCAGCTGTCCCGCTGCTGCCTCGATCGCGGCATTCCCAGAAAAACACGGCTTGGAACTAAACTTGAACTACCCACAATGCTCCCTTCCCCTTTGCTCCCTTGCAAAATGTCGCCTTTGCCAAGTTTTCCGCTCGTGTTTGGAGCAGCCCGGAGAGGAAGCGCCTGGGAGCAGCCTCTCCTTAATCCATTGGCTGAGATTTTCTGGACCCTCCTGATTTTTATGATAACACCTTTATTAACGTAGGAATTAATTAGTGTCTGCAGCCTTTTGAAGGAGCAAAGAGTGTGACAGTGCGACTTTGTACCTTGTTTCTCACTGGAAATGGGCTTGTCACAGTCTATAGATGCTGGGGATTTTTTGGTAGGGATTCATAGTATCTTCCTTTGTTTGTTTATTTTTTTTACAGTCTGCCCTGAGATAACTTGTAACTTCCTTTCAAGGGGCCGCTCAGATTTCATTGCTGCAGTTTGTACACACCTCAGTTTGATGATAAATGAATTTCTTACAGTTAATTACTTATTTTTTTTGTTCTTTTTGCATGGAGGAGCTTGAGTGCTTCATGTGATGTTACTGATGGATTTTCATATTGTTTGCTAAAGGAAAATTAAGAGGAAAATGCCATTAAACTGAATTGTAGTCTCAAAATCAGTCAAGATTTAGTCATATCGTGTTTTCAGTGTTTTTCCAAGTGTATGGGGAAGGTGGTGATTTCCAGACTCTTTGAAAGCTGGAGGAGTGAGTCCTGTTGGATGTCCCTGGTATTTAAGTTGTGAGTGCATAAAAAGCCCTGCAGAGTGGCCCTGGGGGCTGTGTGTGTGCAACACCGAATTATGTTGGAGGTGCAATTAAAACAACCTGATCTCTGCACTTTTCAGAGTCATTTTCCTCTCAGTATTAACCCTGTGCTGGACTCGTGGGGCAAACCTGACAAAATTTGATCAAAGATAGGACTCAGATTTTTTTATTTTGGTCTCCCCACCGTTAATAAATTGTTGTTGGAAGTTGTTTGTAGTAGAGTGTTGTTCAGGGCTACTACGAGGAGCAGGGAAGGAACAGAGCTGCCTTTCAGGCCCTGGAGCCGCTGGCAGGAGCAGGGCCAAGCTCTGCAGCCACCAGGGTACAGCAGGGGAACGTCCTGGGGCTGCTCTGCCAGGAGCTTCTCAGGGCTCCACCACCCCAATTTCATCCTCAGAACCCTCTGTGGGGCTGCATTTAGGTACCTCAAGTTGATCTTTTTAATGAAGATTAAGTCAGACTATCCCATGCCTTTAAAAATGATTTTGGCTTGTTGTGTGAGCATTGCATAATGGGGGAAAGCACTTTGCTGTTCACACCTGTAGTGTCTCTATTGCTCTGATAGTCCTGCCTTAAAATAACAAACAAACTTCTGTGGTTTTGTGCTGCTGGAATGTTATCAAAATATTTGGGGACCAGGAAGTTAGTGAGTTGCTGTCAGCTTAATGTGCAGGTTTTCCTCCTGCTCACAGGTCATTTGGATGCATGCAAAGCATATGGGGTATTTCATTTATTGGGGTGATCAGTGCTGTGGGCACTGAAAGTCCTTTGGAGTTGTCCAAATTTCCCCCAGTGCCATCGACAGCAGGACCAGCAGTGCTGGCTGTGCCTGCTCTGGAAAGTTCTGCTGAGATCCCAGGTTTGCTGTTCTTTCTCCAGGGAATTCCACAAAGCGTATCCGTGGGTTTCACTGCCTCCTGAGCACCCTCCTGAGTTACAGGGAGGGCACAGGCTGTGTTTGGGTTTCATGAACTGTTCGAGCAGAAATTTGGGATTTTAAGTTTGCATTAAAAAACAAAAACCAAAAGCAAACCAAACCAAACTGTTGCTTTGCTGCTTTGCATGACTGAGGGAATACTCTGGGATACAGGGGGCCTTGAGTGTTTATATGGATGGAGGACCAGGCCCCTTTTGCCTGGTGTAAATGGACACAGCAGGTTTTGGTGTCACTGCCTTCCTTGGGTTTTTGGGGGGCTTTTTCCCAGCACTTTTCCAGTCAGTGTGTTGTCCCTGGCAGAAATTGCCATTGTGCTGCTGCTTCACGGGCATCCTGTGCATCCTGCTAAGCCTGTGCAGCACAGAAAGTGGGATCCCTGTGGGTTTTCAGTGGGATCCCTGTGGGTTTTCAGTGGGATCGCTGTGGGTTTTTGGTGGGATCTCTGTGCATTATCAGTGAGACCCCTGTGGGTTTTCAGTGGGATCTCTGTGCACTGTCAGTGGGATCCCTGTGGGTTTTTGGTGGGATACCTGTGCACTATCAGTGGGATCCCTGTGCATTATCAGTGAGATCCCTGTGGGTTTTTGGGGGGATCTCTGTGATTATCGGTGGGATCCCTGTGCATTTTCAGTGGGATCTGTGGATTTCTGGTGGGATCCCTGTGGGTTTTCAGTGGGATCCCTGTGGGTTTTCAGTGGGATCCCTGTGCATTTTCAGTGGGATCCCTGTGGTTTTCAGTGGGATCTCTGTGCACTATCGGTGGGATCCCTGTGGGTTTTTGGTGGGATCCCTGTGCATTATCAGTGAGATCCCTGTGGGTTTTTGGTGGGATCCCTGTGCATTTTCAGTGGAATCCCTGTGCATTATCAGTGGGATCCTCGTGGGTTTTCGGCAGGATCCCTGTGGGTTTTCTGTGCGTTTCCAGTGGGATCTGTGGATTTCTGGTGGGATCTCTGTCCATTTTCAGTAGGATCTCTGTGCACTTTCAGTGCTGTTCTGGCTGCTGGGTTCACGGAGTGAGTAAGTGTTGGAGAAGTCACTTTTGCCACAGCGGTGTTCCCCTGCCAGTCACAAGATGGGTGTGTTATTAATGCTCAAAGCTGCAGCTGGGAGGATTTCATGTCTCTTTCCCCTCTCTTTCCCCCGTGTCCCCCTGCAGGTGTTGGTGGAATGAGCGTAGCGTGCGTGTTGAAGAGAAAAGCAGTTCTGTGGCAGGACTCGTTCAGCCCCCACCTGAAGCAGCACGCCCAAGACACAGCCAACCCCACCATGCCTGTGGTACTGACATCTGGCACAGGCTCGCAGGCTCAGCCACAGCCAGCTGCAAACCAGGCCCTTGCAGCAGGGACACACTCCAGCCCCGTGCCCGGCTCCATAGGAGTGGCGGGGCGCTCCCAGGACGACGCCATGGTGGATTATTTCTTCCAGAGGCAGCACGGGGAGCAGCTCGGGGGAGGAGGCAGCGGCGGCGGCGGCTACAACAACAGCAAACACCGCTGGCCCACCGGGGACAACATCCATGCAGAGCATCAGGTAGAAAACCACTCCCAGCTTTCCCAGCTCAGCCCTGCAGCCTTCTCAGAGAAGCTTTTCGTTATGCTCTTCTAGAGCTGGAGCTGGTGCTGGTGGAGTGGCCACAGTGGTGCTGTTTGTTTTCTCTTTTCAGGGTGCCGGTGCCCTGGTAACTCTGAGTTGAAAGGTTTCTGCTCTTGAGGGTGTTGAAATCCCAGATCCCAATCCACTCCCGGTCACAGTCGAATGCATGTTTACAAAATTCATCACTCCCTTTATTGATTTTTTTTTTCCTGATGTGTGAACCAGCAGAGCCGTGACTGCTGCTGCTGCTGCTTTTCAAATCTGTTGCTGTAGTTAAATAATTCTTATGTAATGGTATTACAAAACTGCCAATGCATGTAGGTTGGGCTTTTACCATTCCCAATATTGGAAAACACAGGAGTGGAAGGTGCTGGTGGTATGTTTGACTGGGTTTCTTTGCTTTGGGGTTGGATTTTTATTGTTGTCACGTGCAGGGGAAGGTGGTGATGATGAGAAGAGCAGCTTTAAGAGTGTCACCAAGCAGTGGTTTTAGGAACTTGTTAGAGCCACTCAGTCTCTAGAGGGGTGGTGGGCCAGGCTGTGTGCTAGTGCTGTTTACTAGAAGTCTTTTCAGCAGTTGCATTGTCACTCGTGCTGCAGTTAAATGAGTGGCTGACTCACTCCACTCTGGCTGTGACCTGTAGCTCGCTCATCAAAGACACACGAGTGCTTCCTCTCCCAGGCAGCAGAACCCAAGTGTAAGCACATTTTAAAGCAGAATGATCCCCACAAATATTGCCAGGGCAGCAGACACAAAGCTTTTGCAACCTTTGTGAACATCTCCTGCCTCCAGTTTCTGGAATCACAGTGGCCAAGCCTGGCTCCTCTGCTGTGCCTCCCCAGGGGATGTGTTGCCTACCAGAGCATTTGAAAGCAAACATTGCAGGGAATTTTGCAGCCTCACCGAAGGCAGTGTGTACATCAACAGAGAAATAAACCCAAGTGCCCTGTTCATTTGTTCTGGAAGAAAAATCACATAAAATACTGCAATATGAGTTAAGGAGCTAAAAAAATATTGTTGTTATTCCCTTATGGAGAAATGTAGTATTTAGGTATCAATTCAGAAGAAATAACTTCATTGAAACAGATACAATTTTTCTGTTTATTATCCAAGTTTCAGTCACTAACTGTAGAACTTGCTTCAAGAGACATCAGTGCCAGAGATCTTAATGTTCTGAGTTCTGAAGGAAGCCATAAGCAAGGATTTCTTCCTGCAAACTTGTAGGTTTTTCAAATCAAAGCAGCCACAGAGTCTTGGGGTGGAGATGCCTGGGCAGGGCCTGCTATTGTTTGGGCATTTTGTGGCAAGATGACTTCATGAATTAAAATGATGTCATAAATTCTCAATCCTCTTTTCCTCCAGCTCACACTTTCATCCTCCTTTTACTGCAAATCTCTGAAAGCAAAGACAACAAAACTCTCTGGAGATAAGGGGGGTGGGGACAGGGCACTCCAAGCTCGCAGTCGTTAAAAACTCTGCTGGTATTTGAACTTTTATTTATTTAATAATGGAAAGACTTAAACTTTCACTCAAACAAAAGAATCCTGCCTGTTCCAGAGGCTTGTCCTGTTGTCACCAGAAGTGTTGCTCAGCTTGATTTTCTTCAGTAACTTGTGGAATGACATGGTCCTAATAAATAAACTACTTAATGAAAGGAAAGCTCATTAACTTCTGCTAGTTTAAATGAACTTTTCAGTTCCAGTTCCTGTGGTGAGAGTGGACAGTGGAGAGAAGGTTGTGTGGACAGATCCCACCTGCAGGATGGAGCTCACAGATGATTCTGTGTGGTGCTCTCAGTTTCCCCTGTGATTGTGTGAGCTGAGGCTCAGGAAACACCCACCAGGCCAGAATTAATGTTGGGGTTTTTATCTGCTCTGCTTCCTGCTGCTTTTACACTCTGATAAATGGGGTACAGCTGCAGTTCCAGTGTTTCTGCATTCAGTGCTCATCTCCAAACCAATCTTTGTGTCTGTAATTTCTTCCAGGCCAGCTCTGAGGTGGGGCACTACCCCTGTTCTCCTCAGTCTTGTTTGATGTTGGTGCTCCAGTGATTGATGGGCACTTTTATCAGAGTTTGGTGCTCCATCCCTCTTTTTCCATGGTTCTCTGCTTGCCTCAGGGTTTGGCTCCTGGGAAGCAGAATGCAGGATGTGTAATCCTAGCACTGCCATTCTTCTTGACTTCTTGGCCACCTCCACATCTGCTGCTTAAATTATAAATTCCTTGGAGCAAGGGCTAATCTTATGCATGCAAAATGATTTAATTCAGTTTGGGTTTAGCTGGGGTAGAATTGAATTTGGCCTGCAAGAACAGAAGTGGAGGAAGTGCTGGGACATGCAGGGAGGTAGGGAATCATTAGGGATGTCTCCTGCCTCTGTTTTTTATGGATGCACTTTTATTACTGTATTTTCATTTTAGACTTTCAGAGATGGTTCAGTGAGGGCCCAGCCTTGAAGACTGGTTAGGAAACTCAGTAGCTAAAAGATAATGGGAAATCAGAAAAAAAATAATTATAGGCTAATATAGGTTAATGTCTGCCTAGAGCTTGGGAGGTCTAATTAAAGGTAGAAGGGTTTTAATTGTTGAATCCCAGATTCTCTTTGTTGAATCCCAGATTCTCTTTGTTGCATGTGTAGACATGTGTCTGTTGGTGATAACTGTGCAGTGGCTTTTACCAAATGCTGACATTTCATGGTGGCATTGAACAGCCAGGAGAGCTGTGAGTCACACCTGAGCTGCAGCACTCTGACTTCCCATGGGTTTCATTGTGCTCTTCCTCCTGGTCACTTTTCCTCCTGGAAGCTCTGGGAATTGACTGAGAGTGGCTTTAGCAGGGATGGCTCAAGGAAAAGTTCCCCGCAAGGAAAGGAGGAGAGGAGCTCCTTCAGGCGGTGTCCTCTCCTTGTGAGCAGCAGGAAAATGCTGTGTCTGTTTGTGTTTTGCTTAGGGGAAATGCCACAGGAAAAGAAAGTTTCTTTCTACTCTGGAAGCTGTGTTTGGGGCCAGGTTTTTATATAAAGTGAACCAATTAAAGATGCCCCTGTTATTTCACCAATTTAGGTGTCAAAGCTTCACCATCCACACAAAAAACTTTTGGTGATAATGTCTTCTTTGTCCCTGCAGATGCTGGGATCAGACTTTTGATTTCTTAACTTTTACTCAGATCTCCTGAGCAAAATCCCAGCTGTTCGCAGCTCCAAATCCTTAATCACCAAACCTCCATGGAAAACACTTTACTGCAAATTTTTCTCCTTTTATCCACCAAAAGCAGCAGGATGAGGCTGATTGTCAGGGTCCCCAGTAATCTGAATGTTGGAGTGAGCAGGTTTGGGCTGTCTGATGCCTGGTTGGTGTTGGACAGAGAGTGTTGGAGTGTTTGTTTATCCTGCAAGACCACAGCCAGGGATCAGGACATCACAGGATGGCTGCAGGTGAGGAATGGCCTGCCCTGGGTCTGCCTTAACCTGCAGACCCTGAAGTGATGCTGGGATCAGACTTTTGATTTCCTAGTTTGGTTACTCAGATCTCCTGAGCAAAATCCCAGCTGTTTGCAGCTCCAAATCCTTAATTACTAAACCTCCATGGAAAACACTTAACTGCAAATTTTTCTCTTTTTATCCAGCAAAAGCAACAGGATGAGGCTGAGGTTCAGGGTCCCCAGTAATTTGAATATTCATGTGAGCAGGTTTGGGCTGTCTGATGCCTGGGCAGAGAGAATGTTTGTGTGCTGTTTATGCTGCAGAACCACGGGCAGGCATCAGGACATCACGTAGGGAGGGCACAGGATGGCTGCAGGTGAGGAATGGCCTGCCCTGGGTCTGCCTGGGTTATGAAAGGTTGCACAGATCTCCTCACAAACCCAAACAGCCTCTGCTGCTCCTGGGGGCAGGGAAAAGACACTCAGGATATTCAACTGGGATAAGTTATCAACACTGAGCAGGTTTTTAGGAAAATTGGCTGGGTTTTCTTGGCTGGGATCTCCTGTGGCTGGTGTGTGTGTGTGCCTGAACTGGAGTGAAGGGAGAGTTCTGTGGTGTGTCCCTCTGGAATTGCAGGCACTGGATGTGCTCAGGCTGTCAGAATTGCACTCTGGTAGTGTGGGAGTTGCTTGGTAGAAGCAAATGATTTTAGGCATTTGCTTTCTCTCAGAGCATGTTTAATTAATAATTGGAGACAATAGAACTCTGCAGGGATGGTCTTGTTGAATGTGGGGAATTTTTCACATGGAGTTGGTGAAGAATAGTCAGCACAACAGGGCTGGGACTGGGGTTTCTGCTCAGTTTTGCCTTTTGGCAGTGTGACCATGTGAGTTCTGCACTGGGAGCTGGATTCAGGCAGAGGCAGGAGGGAATTCTGGGAATTCTGCCCTGGTGGGACACAGCTCCTCCAGCCAGGCTCCTTCCTGCCCTGGGAGCAGAGTCATTTTCCTCTCAGTGTTAACCCCATGCTGGACTCGTGGGGCAAACTTGACAAAATTTGATCAAAGATAGGACTCTGTTTTTTTATTTTGGTCTCCCTTTTTTTTTTTGAGGGATCTGAGCACATTGACAATGCTGGGTGCTGCTGGCAGCCACTGTGGCCACAGCTTGTCTGAAATTTGTGGCAAGAGCCTCTAAAAAGGTCCTGGAAGCAAAGGCAGCCCTGTGTTTGTTCTTCCAAAGGGAAATCCTGGCTAAGTGATGCTTTAGTCCTTAGGACAGAGATTTTGCCTGGCCCTGGAAGTGTCCAAGGCCAGGTTGGAGCAACCTGGGACAGTGGAAGGGGTCCCTGCCCATGGCAGGGGTGGAATGAGCTGGGATTTGGGGTCTATTCCAGCCCAAACATGATTTCTGATGTGCCTCTGGGTATGTGCACCACATAACTGGATGTGTTATCTCACAGCATGGAGTGAGTCCCTTGTCACACAAACCATGTGGCAGCACCTGTGCCTCAGCTC